GTTTATTTGGCGACCTACAAGAAGAATAATCACAGATTCGTGTTCCTAAGAAAATTTCGGTTCCGACAGATGTCTTTTCATGAATATTATGGCAAGTTTTAAATTTATTGAAAAAATGGTGGAGGCGCCAAATAAAAAATTCATTTCTCCCTTATTTGGCAACCTACAAGAAGAATAATCATAGATTCGCGTTCCTGAGAAAATTTCGGTTTCGACAAATGCCTTTTCATGAATATTTTGGCAAGTTTTAAATTTATTGAAAAAATGGTGGAGGCGCCAAATAAAAAATTAATTTCTCCTTTATTTGGCCTTCTACAGGAAGAATAATCACAGATTCGTGTTTCTGAGAAAATTTAGGTTCCGACAGATGTCTTTTCATGAATATATTTTCAAGATTCAAATTTATTAAAAAAATGATGGAGGCGCCAGATAAAAAATTCCTTTCTCTTTTATTTGGCCTCCTGCAGGAAGAATAAGCATAGATTCGTGTTCCTGAGAAAATTTCGGTTCCGACAGATGCCTTTTCATGAATATTTTTTCAAGTTTCAAATTTATTGAAAAAATGGTGGAGGCGCCAAATAAAAAAATCATTTTTCCTTTATTTGGCGACCTACAAGTAGAATTATCACAGATTCGTGTTCCTGAGAAAATTTCGATTCCAACAGGTGACTTTTCATGAATATTTTGGCAAGTTTTAAATTTATTGAAACATTGGTGGAGGCGCCAAATAAAAAATTCCTTTCTCCTTTATTTGGCCCCCTACAGGAAGAATAAGCATAGATTCGTGTTCCTGAGAAAATTTCGGTTCCAACAGGTGACTTTTCATGAATATTTTGGCCAGTTTTAAATTTGTTGAAAAAATGGTGGAGGCGCCAAATAAAAAAATCATTTCTCCTTTATTTGGCGACGTACAAGAAGAATAATCACAGATTCGTGTTCCTAAGAAAATTTCGGTTCCGACATACGCCTTTTCATGAATATTTTTTAAAGTTTCAAATTTATTGAAAAAATGGTGGAGGCGCCAAATAAAAAAAATATTTCTCCTTTATTTGGCCTCCTACAGGAAGAATAAGCATTGATTCGTGTTCCTCAGAAAATTTCGGTTCCGACAGATGCCTTTTCATGAATATTTTGGCCAGTTTTAAATTTATTGAAAAAATGGTGGCGGCGCCAAATAAAAAATTCCTTTCTCCTTTATTTGGCCTCCTACAGGAAGAATAAGCATAGATTCGTGTTCCTCAGAAAATTTCGGTTCCGACAGACGCCTTTTCATTAATATTTTGGCAAATTTTAAATTTATTAAAAAAATGGTGGAGGCGCCAGATAAAAAAGTCCTTTCTCCTTTATTTGACTTCCTGCAGGAAGAATAAACATAGTTTCGTGTTCCTGAGAAAATTTTGGTTCCGACGGGTGCCTTTTCATGAATATTTTGGCAAGTTTTAAATTCATTGAAAAAATGGTGGGGGCGCCAAATGAAAAAATCATTTCTCGTTTATTTGGCGACCTACAAGAAGAATAATCACAGATTCGTGTTCCTGAGAAAATTTCGGTTCCGGCAGATGCGTTTTCATGAATATTTTAACAAGTTTTAAATTTATTGAAAAAATGGTGGAGGCGCCAAATAAAAAATTCATTTCTCGTTTATTTGGCGACCTAGAAGAAAGAAAATCACAGATTCGTGTTCCTAAGAAAATTTCGGTTCCGAAAGATGCCTTTTCATGAATATTTTTTAAAGTTTCAAGTTTATTGAAAAAATGGTGGATGCCCCAGATAAAAAATTCACTTCTCCTTTATTTGGCGACCTACAAGTAGAATAATCACAGATTCGTGTTCCTGAGAAAATTTCGGTTCCGACAGATGCGTTTTCATGAATATTTTGACAAGTTTTAAATTTATTGCAAAAATGGTGGAGGCGCCAAATAAAAAAATCATTTCTCGTTTATTTGGCGACCTAGAAGAAAGATAATCACAGATTCGTGTTCCTAAGAAAATTTCGGTTCCGAAAGATGCATTTTCATGAAAATTTTTTAAAGTTTCAAATTTATTGAAAAAATGGTGGAGGCGCCAAATAAAAAATTCATTTCTCCTTTATTCGGCGACCTGCAAGAAGAAAAATCACAGGTTCGTGTTCCTGAGAAAATTTCGGTTCCGACAGATGCTTTTTCATGAATATTTTGGCAATTTATTGAAAAAATGGTGGAGGCGCCAAATAAAAAATTCACTTCTCCTTTATTTGGCGACCTACAAGAAGAATAATCACAGATTCGTGTTCCTGAGAAAATTTCGATTCCGACAGATGCGTTTTCATGAATATTTTGACAAGTTTTAAATTTATTGAAAAAATGGTGGAGGCGCCAAATAAAAAATTCATTTCTCCTTTATTCGGCGACCTGCAAGAAGAAAAATCACAGGTTCGTGTTCCTGAGAAAATTTCGGTTCCGACAGATGCTTTTTCATGAATATTTTGGCAATTTATTGAAAAAATGGTGGAGGCGCCAAATAAAAAATTCACTTCTCCTTTATTTGGCGACCTACAAGAAGAATAATCACAGATTCGTGTTCCTGAGAAAATTTCGATTCCGACAGATGCGTTTTCATGAATATTTTGACAAGTTTTAAATTTATTGAAGAAATGGTGGAGGCGCCAAATAAAAAATTCATTTCTCCTTTATTTGGCGACCTAGAAGAAAGATAATCACAGATTCGTGTTCCTAAGAAAATTTCGGTTCCGAAAGATGCCTTTTCATTAATATTTTTTAAAGTTTTTAATTTATTGAAAAAAATGGTGAAGTCGCCAAATAAAAAATTCATTTCTCCTTTATTTGGCGACCTACAAGAAGAATAATCACAGATTCGTGTTCCTGAGAAAATTTCGGTTCCGACAGATGCCTTTTTATGAATATTTTTTAAAGTTTAAAATTTATTGAAAAAATGGTGGATGCGCCAAATAAAAAATTCATTTCTCTTTTATTTGGCGACCTACGAGAAAAATAATCACAGATTCGTGTTCCTGAAAAAATTTCGGTTCAGACAGACGCCTTTTTAGGAATATTTTGGCAAGTTTTAAATTTGTTGAGAAAAATGGAGGCGCCAAATAAAAAATTCATTTCTCCTTTATTTGACCTCCTACAGGAAGAATAAGCATTGATTCTTGTTTCTGAGAAAATTTCGGATCCGACAGACGCCTTTTCAGGAATATTTTGGCAAGTTTTAAATTTATTGAAAAAAATGGTGGAGGCGCCAAATAAAAAATTCATTTCTCCTTTATTTGGCGACCTGCCAAAAGAATAATCACAAATTTGTGTCCTTGAGAAAATTTCGTTTCGGATAGGTCATTTTGGTCAAAATTTAATTATAAGTTTTTTTATTAAATTTATAGTAGTTTTGACTTGACTGCATTTCCTGCAATTGTCAAATCAGCTTTTCCAGTTAAGTCCGTGAAACCAAAAACTTTGTTAAGTATTTTCGCTGGTGATTCTCACACAGACAATATTTCTTAACTGCGAAATTTATTAACGTAAATAACGATTCAATCATCACCCGCTCTCCAAAACCGCCCTCTCCAACAGAAAACCGCATCTTTAAAATCCTAAATTACCCCCGAAAAGAACGTACAAGTGTATTTTTAATCCCGCCATTTACCATCCCTCGGCACACCAGCTTTAAAACTGCACGTTTTTCGCAAACCCCTCACGAAGACTGTTATTGTTATTGCGACTAAAAACATAATACACGAAAGTAATGTCTCTCCTCGTTGCCTGTGAGAGCTCCATGATTACAAGAGGCGGAGCCGAAAGATATATTATTACACAGGCTCTTGTACACTTGCAAGTGACTCGAGTAATTTTTTCGGGCCGGGACATACATTATGCAAACGATTTTTTGACGAGACACTCGTCAATTAAGCCGTCGGCGTTCCTCACGCAAAAAATACAGGCGTGTTTTTTTTTTGACAAGATTCTCGAATTTTTGCTTTTGTGTGGTTTGCCGATGAATACGTTCCCGTACGTGAGTAATTTTCATCAGGGCTCGGAAAGCTTGTAGCTTTAATGCACGCGGTGATAATTTAGGTTTTCCGTGTAATTGGGCTCCGTTACAATATTTCCTTTTCGGATTTGTTAGCGTGGAAGGTATCGTCCTACATTTTAGGTTAATTAAGCTGATAGGGGGACCGGAGTGGACTGCGAGATAGGACTTTTGTGGTAATGATTTGGGCAAACAATCTGTTGTAATACATCATGTTCCGGAGTCTCCGCCGGCCGGCGATATTAACGCTGCTAGTTCGCAAACTATGTTCCTCGTTAAATTAGCTGTTGGGGAATTTGGCAAAAATTAATCTAAAGTCGAGTTTAAAAAAACTAGCCATGGAGGAACACTCTTACGACGATTTCTTGCGACAATTTACGGCTTCCTCCGCTTTGTTAAGAAAACTCGTTATTCAATTATAATGAATAGCGAAGTTAATTCGGAAGCACGGCTTACAAATCCGGACGAAATTAGTTTAATTAGGTTAAGGGTGCCTTCTAAATTCTACACCGTGGTAAGCATTTATACGGCCCGACTTGGAGTTGTATAAACTATAAGGGGGTTGCGCTACATCGAGGAACAACGGTTGCGTTGAGTTTACTTTGAAGGTACACTCATCGCTTTGAGAGATTTATTGTGATAGTTTGTCTGTTTGCTACATGCAGAATGTTGCCTTTGCACAAGAATCAACGATAACAAATCTGTACAAACATGCCGAGATGATGTTATTGTTTCCAAATGGAAATCGGGGCCGCCGAGACAAGCATTTATTGGCGCGTGGAGGTGCAATTAGTCGCGGCTTTTTTAGTTTGTTGCCGATAAATGAGTGAAACGATTTGCCAATAAATATTCAACTGAAACTTGAAAACTGATGGATAATTTTCTTTCTCAATAATATCTACTGGTTCTGGGCTTAAAAATATAACAGATTTAACTTTTTAATCTAAAAATTTCGTCGGCCGACACCTGCCTGGTTAATTCGCGCCCTGAATTCGCCGCCCCGACTCCCCTAATTTTATGCCCGTTTTATAATCCGAGCCGGCGTGATTAAGCTCTGGGGCGAAGTGAGTTCGCCTGCAGCAGGCCAACGTGCCCTGGTTGCGCAATTCGCCCTCTCCTCGGAGGTGACCAACAATTTTTCTCGAGGAGTCGGAGCGTGACTTGTCAATTCTACAAGAAAAAACGTCCTCGTATGGCCGCTCGGTGGATTTGTGCGAATCGAAACGCTTAAAATGCGCGAGATGGAACGTTACAAATGCGTGACACGCAATCTGACAATTATCCTTGATGCTGAAAAGGATAGTTTTTCAGGGGAGCGGCGGGGGAGTTTGAGCGTTGGAGTACGCGGGGATAAATGGTTGGGATTTGTTTAAATTTTAGTGGATGAGTAAACGTTGGGATTGTTGTGGAAACACGCAGCATTTTTTTGGATGTACGTTAACGTTTTTGCGGCATTTAGGTCGTGAATGTAATGATTAACATTTAAACGGGGCCGGGGTAATATTAGTTTTGGTTTTTAATATTAATTTAAAATTGTGTTGACATTAAATACTGAAAAATGTACAGTGTTGATTTTGGTGGAGCGCTTTCAGGCATTGTTCCTTCTGGTTGGTTTTGGCAGCTCAATTTTACAATTTAGATGTAAATTATGAATGAATATTAACACTAATACCAATTTCGGGCATATTGTTAGTGCAGATGATTGGATACGAAGCTATAATCAGAATTCTAGTGGAAATTGTGCGTAGAATTATAAATTAATGCAACATGTTACACGTATTTTTAACGTTATGTATTTGTCTTAGTGTGTGTTTTTTGAAAAAATCTCGGTGGTTCGTTATTGGCTTAAAAAATTGGAAAGGAGCGTGGACTTTGAGGTGTTATTTTTGAAATAATTAAAAGGACCTTGAGGGCTGCTAGTCGTTTGTCAGCGGCTTAAAAACTGGAAAAAAATCTCGGAGGCCTCTGAGCTGTAATAAGTCTTTCGTGAGTAATTTATGAAACGATTCAAAGAATTGTCAAAAAGAAATAAACACCAGAGTATTTCAAAATTCTTTCAAAATTTTACAGAAATAAAATACTATGACCCTCCAAGATTTTTTCAAGTATAGCCGGGGTCCACGAAACTTTTCATTTTAAATTTGTCCAAAAAAAAAAAAAACAGGTGGATCCAGAAATCTTTTGAAAACAAAAAAGAACACTAGAGGCTTCCCAGATTATTTTAAAATTTTCCAAGAATAAGATACAGAGGAACTCAAGTTTTTTTATGATTTTTTTAAATCTCGGATGCTCTTCGCCATTTGTTTCTGGCTTAAAAAATTGGAAAAGATGTCGGGGGAAATTGAGGTGCTATTTGTGAAATAATCTTGAGGGCTCCGAGTCGTTTGTTATTGGTCGAAAGAATTGGAAAAAATCTCGGACGGCTTTGAGTTATAATTTTAAAAATAACTGAAGAATCTCGGAGGATTCTTTCCATTTGTTCTTGGTTGAATTATTCGGAAGGAATCTCTGAAGTCGTTGAGGTGTCAATTTTGAAACAATTTAAAGAATCTCTGGGGTCCTTCGTGCGTAATTTATGAAATTATTGATAGAATGTAGCATACATTTAGAACTGGAAAAAATAAAGGACAACTTTGAGGTATTATTTCTGAAATAGTTGAAGATTCCCGGGGGTTTTTAGTGGATTGTTCTTGCCTTAAAGAATTGTAAAGGATCTTGGAGACCATTATTGTGTAATTTATGGAATAATTGAAAAAATCTTGAGGACCACAAGTCGTTTGTTCTTGGGTTAAACAATTAGAAAGAATTTCGGGATGCCCCCTTGATGTGTTATTTTTGAAACAATTAAAACAATCTCTAGGGCCCTTCGTCTAATTTATGAAATAATTGAAATAATCTTGACCGCGCCAGGAGTTCGTTCTTGGCTTAAAGATCTTGAAAAAATAATAATCATCACAACAGCACAATAATCAAATCCTTAGAACACCACAATTATTCAATCCTCAGAAAACAATTATCCTCAAATCCTCAGAACAGCAAAATTCCCAAATTCTCTGAAGAGCAAAATCTTCAAATCCCCAAAACACCATAATCCTCAGATCTTCAGAACACCATAAACCTCAAACCTTCAGAACAGCATAATCCTCAATCCCGTAATTTCCTCCTTTTCATCTTTTTCCTCCTTTTCATCTTTTTCCTCCTTTTCGTCCTTTTTGTCCTTTTCGCCTTTTTCGTCCTTTTCGTCCTCTCCATTCTTTATTTTCTTTTCTTCCTTTTCGTTCTTTTCGTCCTTCTCTTCCTATTCGTCCTTTTCGAACAATCAATACTTTACTGGTGTTAAAAAAAACTTTTCGTCAGTTTAGTCGTTTTCGTCCTTTTACTTCTGTTCGTCCTGTTCGCCCTTTTTGTGTTTTTAGTCGTCCTTCTCGTCCTGTTCCGTCTTTTTCGTCCTTTTCGTTCTTTTTCTCCTTTTCATCCTTTTCCTTCTGTGCGTCCTTTTCTTCCTTATCGTCCTGTTCGTCCTTTTCGTCCATTTCGTCATTCTCGTCGTCTTTTTCGTCCTTTCCGTCGTCCGTTTCGTCCTTTTTGTCTTTCTGGTCGTCATTTTTATTGTCCTTCTCGTGCTTTTCGTCTTTTTCGTCCTTTTGTCCTTTTCTTGCTTTTCGTCCTGTTCATCCTTTGAGTCCTTTTTCGTCCTTTTCGTCTTTTCGGTCCTTTTTTGCTTTTATCGTCCTTTAGGTCCTTTTCGTTCTTTTTTGCCCTTTTTCGTACTTTTCGTCCTTTAGGTCCCTTTTCGTCCTTTTCGTAGTTTTTCGTCCTGTTCGTCCTCTTTCGTCGTTTTAGTCCTTTTTCGTCCTTTCTCATCCTTTTCGTTCTATTTCGTCCTTCTTCGTCCTTTTCGTCCTTTTTCGTACTTTTCGTCCTTTTTCGTCCTTCTTCGTCCTTTGTCGTCTTTTTCGTCCCTTTTCGTCTTTTTTCGTAATTTTTCGTCCCTTTTCTCCCTTTTTCGTCCTTTTCGTAGTTTTTCGTCCTTTTCGTCTTTCTTCGCCCTTTGGGTCCTTTTTCGTCCTATTTCGTCCTTCTTCGTCCTTTTCGTCTTTCTTCGTCCTTTTTCGTCTTTTTCGTCCCTTTTCGTCTTTTTTCGTCCTTTTCTCCCTTCTTCGTCCTTTTTCGTCCTTCGGGTCTTTTTTCGCCCTTTTTCGTCTTTTTTCGTCATTTGTGGTCCTTTTTCGTCTTGTTTCGTCCTTTTCCGTTCTTTAGGTCCTTTTTCGTCCGGTTCGCCCTTCAGATCCTTTTTCGTCCTTTCTGTCCTTTTTAGTCCTTTTTCGTCCTTTTCGTAGTTTTTCGTCCTCGAACACCATAATTCTCAAATTCTTAGAACACCATAATTCTCAAATACTCAGCACAGCAAAATCCTCAGATTCTGAGAACACCATAATCCTCAAATCCTCAGAACACCACAATTATTCAACCCTCAGAACACAATTGTCCTCAAATCCTCAGAACAGCAAAATCCCCAAATCCTCTGGAGAGCAAAATCTTCAAATCCTCAGAACACCATATTTCTCAAATCCTCACAACACCGTTATCCTCAAATCCTGAGAACTCCATAAAGCTCAAACCTTCAGAACAGCAATCTCGTCATTTTCGTCCTTTTCATCTTTTTCCTCCTTTTCGTTCTTTTCGTGGTCCTCTTCGTTCTTTTCATCCTCTCCATCCTTTCCATTCTTTTCTTTCTTTTCGTCGTCCTTTTCGTCCTTTTCGCCCTTTTTGTCTTTTTGGTCGCCCTTCTGGTCCTGTTCCGTCTTTTTCGTATCTTTAGTTCTTTTTGTACTTTTCATCCTTTTCGTTCTGTTCGTCCTTTTCTTCCTTTTCGTAATTTTCCTCCTTTTAGTCCTGGTCGTCCCTTTCGTCCTTCTTGTCGTCTTTTTCGTCCTATCCTTCGCCCGTTTCGTCCTTCTCATTTTTTTGGTTGTCATTTCATTGTCCTTCTCGTCTTTTTCGTCCTTTTTCGTCCTTTTCGTCCTTCTCGTCCTATTTTGTCCTTCTTCGTCCTTTTTCGTCCTTCTTCGCCCTTTTCGTCTTTTAGGTCTTTTTTCATCCTGTTCGTCCTTTTTCGTCATCTTCGTTCTTTTTCGTCCTTTTCGTCCTATTGTGTCCTTTTTCGTCCTATTTCGTCCTTCTTCCTCCTTCTCGTGGTTTTTCGTCCTATTTCATCCTTTTTCTCCCTTTTCGACTTTTAGGTCCTTTTTCGTCTTTTAGGTCCTTTTTCGTCCTTTTCGTCATTTTTCGTCCTTTAGGTCCTTTTCCTCATTTTTCGACCTTTCTCGTCCTTGTTCTCCCTTTTCGTGCTTTGGATCCTTTTTCGTTCTTTTCGTAGTTTCTCGTCCTTTTTCGTCGTTTTCGTTCTTTTTCGTACTTTTCGTCCTTACCGTTCTTTTCATCCTTTTCTCGTCCTTTTTCGCCCTTTTCGTCTTTTAGGTTTTTTTCGTCCTTTTTCGTCCTCTTCGTCCTTTTTCGTCCTTTTTGTCACTTTCGTTCTTTAGATCCTTTGTCGCTCTTTTCGTTCTTCAGGTCCTTTTTTGTCCTTTAGGTCCTTTTTCGCCCTTTTTCGTAGTTTTTCGTCCTTTTCGTTCTTCTTCGCCCTTTAGGTCCTTTTTCGTCCTTTGTGTCCTAGTTCGTCTTTCTTCATCCTGTTCGTCCTTCTTCGTCCTTTTTCGTCCCTTTTCGTATTTTTCGTCTTTTTTCGTCCTTTGCGTCCTGTTTCGTCTTTTGGGTCCTTTTTCGTCTTTTTTTCGTCATTTGTAGTCCTTTTCGTCCTTTTTCGTCCCTTTTTCGTCCTTTTTCGTTCTTTAGTTCCTTTTTCGTCCTGTTCGTCCTTTAGACCCTTTTTCGCCCTTTTCATCCTTTTAGTCCTTTTTCGTCCTTTAACACCATAATTCTCAAATACTTAGAACAGCATATAACCCAAATCCTCAGAACAACAAAATCCTCGATCCTCAGAACACCATAATACTCAAAATTCCCTAAACAGCAAAATCCTCAGATCCTGAGAACGGCATAATCCTCAAATCCTCAGAACTCTATAATCCTCAAATCCTCAAAACACCAAAATCCTCAAATCCTCAGAACTCCATAATCCTCAAATCCTCAAAACACCAAAATCCTCAAATCCTCAGAGCAGCATAATCCTGAAATCCATCTCGGGAGTGAGGTGTCATTTTTGAAATAAGTAATTAATGAATCTTTGTGGTTTCTAGTGGTTTGTTCTTGGTGTAAAGGATTTAAAAGAATCTCGGAAGCTTTCGAGGTGTTATTTTTTAAAAAATTGAAACAGTTTCTTGGGTCCATCGTATGTTATTTATGAAATATTTGAAATACTATTAATTAGTTCAGGTTTCTATTGTTGGCTTAATCATTTGGAAGAATTTATTTAGTTATAATTTAATTCACTTTCAATTATTTTTGAAATAATTGAAAGTTAATAATGGAATACTTTGGGAGAATTTCGATGCATCAAGTGGTTTGTTGGTGGCTTATAAAATTGGAAAATATTCGGGGATTTTTGGGGTGTTATTTTCGAACTAATTGGAAGAATCTCCGAGGCCCTTGAGTAATTTTCGAAAAATTTTGGAACACTCTCTGGAGCTTCTGGTGGTTCATCCCCTGAGGTGTTATTGTTGAAACATTTGAAAAATCTCAAGGACTCCAAGAAACTTAAATAATCGGAAATATTTTAATGGGGCTTTAAAGTATATTTTTTTTAATCAAAGAGTCTTGGGGAAGCTTCATGTGTTATTTTCGAAATAATTTGAAAAAATCTTCGGGGCTCCTGGTCATTTCTCATTGGCTTAAAGATTTGGAAAGGATCTCGAAGCCTCTCAAGGTGTTATTTTTCTAATAATGAAGAATCTTGGTGACTCCTGGTTAATTGTTCTTAACTTGAAGAATTTGAAATAACCTCGTGGGCCTTTGAGGTCGTATTTTTGAAATAATGGAAAAAATCTCGGAAGCCCTTGGTGTTATTTTCGAGATTATTTAAAAGAATCTCGGAGTTCCTGATGGTTTGTTCTTGGATTAAAGAATTGGATAGCATCTCGGAGGTTCTTGTGGTGTTATTCATGAAATAATTGAAGAATCTTGGGGGTTGTTACTGTGTTATTGAATTGAAACAGCCTTTGTTTGAAGCGACATTTTTGAATATATTTTTATAATCCAAATCTTCTTTCTTTTAAGTTCCAACGCGAGTGTAAAATGTCTGTGTTTGTTAAATTATGGAAGAAAAAAATTCCGCCTTAAAAAATTGTTATGCTTTGTACACTTCCCCGCCTCTCCAACTTCCAACTTGCCGAATTTTTCCGCCTCCTTAAAATATTCCGTGCGTGCCCCTGTAATTTAATATCCTTGATAGTTGTCAAGAGAGCCGAAAATGTTTAAACTTCCTCCGACAAAAATTACAAGTGTGCCCCTAATAAATTTAATGATAATGCGGCCATAAACACGTCAGACGCGATGTCTAATAACGGTCACGATGACATATTACGGCAAATGTCTACATAACGCTATCTTTGTGAAGCGCCATGTAGTTGCTCGCTTGCATAATTTGAGTTATGTAGCGAAGTGCCCCAAGTAGGACATAAGCTGATTTACTCCTTGCACCTCCTTTCCGGTTATGTAATGCTAATGCAGGAGCATCCGTCATTCCGCCGTATTCCGCTTCCTGCGTGCCGTCAACGCCGCCTCCTCCTTCCCAAAAATCGATGCCTTCTGGAAGTCGGAAGAACGGTAATTTTTTTGGCGAGTTTGAGTGTCACGGTAACTCTCGTCTCATCCATAACTTAATATTGCTTACATATATGCAGCCCTGCATAATCCCATTATCGCCGTGCTTCCCTAATATATTTACAAAGACAATTACCGTAATTTCCCACTTTGGAAACTACTAGACAGACCTTCAGAAATTAATTCGTAATTGCGTTCCGCTGCGTGGAAATCGCGCCGTAAACCACCTCGTCCACGTCGAAAAAGTCCCGGAGCAGCTCGCAGTCGCAGCGGCTCCGGGCGACCGCCGAACTCTAATCTAATAGTAAACACATAAGAAGGCGTTTTTATGAAAAGTAATGATAACGGCGATCGGATCCCGGACAAGAAACGGCTCGGTCCTTTTACCAAAATTGGAAAACACATCGATGCGTTGAGAACGGTGCATTGTTTGCGACTTGTATTGAGCAGCGATATTTTCGGAGCCGGAGTCGCTCGACTAAAACACATCGACTCCGGAAAATACGGATGGAAATGTTGCGTCTAACTAGTTTAAAGTGAAAAACGGAACCGAAATAACAATTTCGTTTTAGTTTAGATTTACGCTGCGGGAGGAGTTGTTTGCTGCACTTTGGGGCTAGAATTGCGCTGTTGTCGGCGAAAATGAGATTGTGTTGATATTAGGGGGTGCTTGGAGGAGCGGGGCGGCGGTCATAAATGGGGTTACGCAGTTATGAGCTGTATCTGACCTACCGCTTTGTCGTAATTGTATACATTTAATACAATATATTCTGAGGAAATTGTTTTGATTTTGTTTGTTACCGAAATGTCAAAGTCGTTTTCATTTTAATTTGTTAAAACTGAAGTCAATTAGCTATTTTTTGCTGTGGTTCGTCTTGCATCAGTTGTTTCATAGGGGCATGGGCACAGAGTGTGAATTCGGACAGCAGTGAATACGATTGAGAGAAAGTTTTATTTTCAAGCGAAAGTTGAGAAAATTGTTAAGAAGCCCCATCTAACTTCAAAATTTGCTACATGTTGCTGTTTTTTTAATCTTGACAGAGATTGTGCAATGTAATGACAAGTTAAATGAAGAAAAACCACCAATGGAGCTACGCTAGTGGAAAATCTCCCAAGATTTTTTAATTTTTTTTTCAAGTTTTACTCGAATTGATACAGCAGAAAACATTTATCGTGGTTTAAATGCCTGTTTGTCTTATTATTGATGTTGTCTACGAATATTCTTAAAAAAATGCTTTGTTATTAAATTTTGTAATAGATGTTTTCTAAAATTGTTTGTTATCCCGGCGCCTCCACCATTTTCCGACTAAAAATCGATTCGATAGTGGATCATTATTGGTTTAAACATTATCAAAATTTCTAACTCTAACTCTAAGTTCCCATTATTTTTTTAAAATTGTTGAAAAAAACATCCTGAAATTCTTTCAAATATTAAAAAAAAAGGGGAACAATAGAAGCTTCCAAGATTCTTTCAAAATTTTTCAAAAAAACCTTAAGGGATCCCGAAATTCTTTCAAATTCTTAAAAAAGGAGAAACATTATAAACTTTAAAAATTTTCCAGAAATAAGATAACGAGGGCTTCCGAAATTTTTAAAAATTGTTTTCAAAGATGAAAAGACAAGACTTTCAAGATTTTTTCAAATTCTTCAAAAAAATAAATATCTGTTCTCAACATTGCGTCAAATTCTTAAAAAAAAACACGGAAGTCCGGAAGTCCTGAAGATTCTTTCACATTGTACCAAGAAGAAAACAACAGAAGCTCCGAAATTTTTTCGAATGTATCGAAAAAATACCAGAAGAAGTCCGCGAGTTTTTAAAATTCAAAGTGAGGATCTTTGAAATTTTTTCAAGCATTTTTTCAAAAACAAAAACACGAAGGACCGCCAAGATTTTTTTCAATTCTACCAGAAAGAAAACGTCATAGATCCCGAGATTCTTTAAAATTAAAAAACAGCAGGGGATTTCCTGGATTTTTTCAAATTCTTCCAAAAAAAAAACAGCAGTATCCCAGAGATTCTTTCAAATTTTAGAAAAAAGAAAACATCAAGGATCGCCGAGTTTTTTTCGAATTTTTCAAAAAAACACCTCGATAATCCCGAGATTCTTTCAAATTCTACCCACGAAAACACCTGGTATCCCCAATATTCTTTAAAATTTGTCCAAAAAAACAGTGACTTATCGAAATTCTTCTAAATTGCTCCCAAAAAAGTAACACTAAAGTCTTTCAAGACTCTCAAAATTTTCTAGAAATAAAATGCTTGGCGCCTCCGAGGTTTTTTAGTTTTTTTTTTTTCAAAATAGAAACACGGAAGGTTACTGAGATTTCCCAAATACTACCAA